GGGGGGGGGGCAGTAGGATTTGCAAAGCCAAGAATCACGAAGAAGCCTCGGCGTGCCGAAGTCGTGAGTGTATTTTGTAATCGTGGGCGCGAAGAGCAACAAAGAGCCATCCATGCCATGGAACCTTTCTTTGGGCGACGTCAATGAATCGATGAATGCCATCGCAAACTGCTGCGTTGCGGGTTGGCGCTTGATGGCGACCGCGACCGGGACCGCGACCGGGACGCGTGTTGATTTGCAGCAAGCGGGGCTAAATGCTCTCCCGCGCGCTCCGTCAACACCGGACGGTCACGGCCGGGGACCCGCTACGAGATGACGTCCGGCGTCCGCTTGTTTGAAAGTCAGAGTCGCCGAATATGAGCCGCGTCTAGCTGTGGCTTGGTGCAACGCTTTAATGAAAGTCACGAGTGCGGAGTCGTTGACGGAGGGGGAAAGGGGAAAACGACGAGCGCCCCGCGCTTGTGCTCGATCGTGACTCCACGACTGTTTGAGTAATACATCGCTCGCGCACAGCTTTTGCACTCACGACTCACGACTGCTTGGCGGAGACGGTCAGCACCGTGAGGGCAGACGCGAACTCCATCAGACTTCTAGATCCGTCGTGTGCGCGCAGCACGCGCATGAGATGCGGCGAGAGCACCGGACGTGGCGCGGGCGCCGGCGTAGCAAAAAAAGGTCTAGGCTTGCCGCAGATTGCGCGCGCTGCTGATGATGCCCCTTGCACCAGCTAGCTATGTATACTCCCCCCGCCATAAAGCGAGCCTGCAGTGCGTCGTGCGGTGCGGTAATCTGGCCCTTTTTGAGCTTCGACAAGACGAGAGAGAGAGGCCGCGAATGGAGAAAGGGTACGACTCGACAGCAGCCATTCGGGTTGGTCCATCGAGATCGGAGAAAACACTGCGATGAGGGGGAATGCTATAGGGCCAAGCATGCAAGGAAGCTAGGCGACCGAGTGGCTGTAGTGCCCTGCCCTGCCTACCTCGACCCACCCCCTCCGCACTCGCGACGTTTGACTGCGATGCGCGCATCAGCAAAGAGATGCTGTATATGCACGCCTCAGACAAAGTATTCCCGTGGCCGGAGTCAGAGCCGCGCGTCAGCAGCAGCATGCAGTTATAAGATGCGACACCGGCAGAAGCGGTGGTCGCTCGGCGCGTGTGTACGGTATATATGCATGCATGTGGTACATGCTTGCTGCTTGCTGTGCGCGGCTTGCTTTGCATGTGCTGCTGCTGCTGCTGCATGAAGAGTCCCCGCGCGCGTTTGCCTTGCAGCATCAGCTCACCGCGAGCACTCGCACTCGCACTCGCACTCGATTCACGATTGTCATAGCACACCAGACTGCTGCTGCAGGGCCCTCGTCTGCGGGGCTGAGTAGCTAGCTAGCTCCTGATGACCAGGACCTCCACAATTATTCGATGCAGCAGCAGCAGCAGCAAGCCGCGATGTACGAACGCGGCAGCGAACTCCGGTTTGCAATAAGCGTCAAGCGTGATTTTTACGAGGCGCTGGCTGGCTGGCTGGCTGGCAGCTCACAAAACTTTTACACTGCTATCCTACCCTCGAGAAGTGTCAAAGCAAGAACACAAAGAAGGGGAGGGGGTGATCTGACATGCAGCGATCGAGCAGCGATCGAGCCCCCTCTTGATTAATTCTTGCCCTCACGTTTGGTTGGTTGGACCCCCCCGCGGAAAGAGAACCCTGAGCTATAGAGATCTCGAGAAGCGGGCGCGGCACGGCACGGCACGGCGCCTTCTCCCAATTCGCGCTTTCCGCCAGCGCAGCTCCGTTTCCCAGGGCTCGGCGCCTTCTTCCTGAGCCTGGTGTGGCGCCCTCGTGTGTGTGCTGCCTGCCCATGCTGCATGCTCACTCGATCCCTCCCCCGGGCCTCGTCTCCATCAGCTTTGTGACACCAACTCCGCGTCCGAGACAATTTTTAAAGTTTTTTTTTTTTTTTTTTTTTTCGATCTTCTTCCACAACCTTGTGTGGGTAGGATCAACGAGCGTGCTTTGCGGATAGCTCACCTTTGGCTTTTTCCTGCTGGTCAAGTTGTAGGAAGGACAAGAGCACTGGAGAGAGGCGAACGGCCAGCTTGAAGCACATGCAGGCAGGCCCTCGCCTCGCCTCGCCTCGCCTCGCCTCTTTTGGAAGAGTCGCCACCCAAGGCTCCTCCTACCACCATCCCCCTTCGCTGGCTCCAGCACACCTGTACATAGCACAGCAAAGGCAAACGCACATCGGGCATTTTCCCCATTGGTGCTTCTGCTTCTGCTGCAAAGCCTAGTCTTTCAATCACCACACACTTGGTGGAGGTTGCACGGATTGCACCACATTCCGCCTGCTACTTCAACGTTGGTCCGCTCCATCTGCAAGCGCGGTCCGCCACCTACGCGCCCTTTTTTTCCTGCCAGCAGCAGCAGCAGCAGCAGCATCAGCAGGCGGCAGCGAGCGGCTATAGGAAGGAAGGAGGCAACTTGTGGTGGACCAAAAGAGCTGTGATCCGTCGTCCATCAAGGCAATTCGGATGAAGCCATTCCCTTTGACAAAACTCTTCCCGTAGTCGTCGTTCGTCGAGCTCATCCTTGGTTTGCATTCGTTGGGCCCCCTCCCCCTGGTTCTCTGCTTCTAATTGTCACTATACTGCACACGCGCGGCCATACCACTGCACGCACACGCACACGCTTTGGCCTCGCCACCCACCTCCCCCCCACCTCCCACATATTCCCGCTTCCGCACGCGTTTCTTCGCGCAGCATTCACGCGTAGCACACGCGTTGCTCGCGTATCATTAGTCGGTTAGGCGGATACATCGTCTGGCTTCCCGCTTCCTCGCACTCGCGCAATCTTTCCTCTCATCAAGGTGGACTCGAGGGCCCTCGTTGTGGTGTCACTTGCAACGCCATGTCTGGTCAGCACCACTACTCGTCCGGTCGCGGAGGTGCGGATCCATACGGCTACTCGGCTGGATCCTACTCTCAGCAACCCCTGTCTGCCCCTCCAGGCTCCGCATACTCTGGCTTCGCATCGTCATCCAACAGCCACTATCCCTCTTCGGCCCATACGGTGCACGGTGCAGGCTCATCAGGTTGGCCAAGCGGCGGGGCTGCAAGTCACGACTCGGCGGCCGGCGGCGCGTCTAGCCTCGGGTACTCTATGAACCATTCCTTCTACGGTGCTCACCCCCACGCCAGCGACTTTGGTGGTGGTAGCAGCAGCAGCGGAGACATTTACGGTCGGCCAAATTATGCCGACTCGGCTCACGGCACCTCGAGCGCTAGTTCTTCCGGTTTCCTACCTCAAGAACCCTCGCCTTACGGTCAAGCTGGCTCCCATTCCCACTTGCCCGCAGCTGCCAGCTACGCTCACCTTCCTCGTCCCTTGAACGGCCACTCTTCCTTGCAGCCGAGCGCCGCGAGCAATTTGCCAACGGTCGCAGCGGCGGCCACAGGTAGCGCAAGCCGCGCAGCATCCTCTTCGAGACCCGTCAAACCTAAAAAGCCTCCTCTTGGCCGCACGGATGTCAGCAGCGCTGCTGATCCCGAAAAGGCAAAAGAGGTGCTCTTGTCCCTTCGTGCTCGTATGCCAGACAGCACGGAACCAGCGCCCAGCTGTGACCGCTGTCGAAGGCGCAAGATCAGAGTGAGTTGGGAGCGCGGGCAGCTAGCTGCTCACGGTTGCTACTTCTTCCCCATTCGGCTTCTCCTCACGCGCGGCTTCTTTTCCCCTCCCCCGCCAGTGCGATCGCGAAAAGCCAACGTGCGGAAATTGTCAACAAAGCGGTAGGGTGTGCACGACCGAAGACGTCTTGAGAAAGCGTGGCCCACCGAGCAAAAAGGAGCGTCAGATCATGGAGGCGGCAGGTATTGTATTTCACGGTGCGCGTCCCAAGCAAAAGAAAAAGTCAAAGAGCGATGCGGGCAGCAAAGGAGCGACAGGAAGCGCGTCCAAGCTTGCCAAGAAGATCGGCAACGGCAACGGCAACGGCGCACCACCGCATCACACTGACGTTTCGTCGGGATGGAACAATAGCGCGACGGGCTCTGCCAGCGCTTCAGAGACCGGTCACGCATCGGCACCCGATTGGACGGCGCAGCAGCAGCAGCTGCAGCAGCAGCAGCCGGGATACTATCGACCCGCTGAGTATGATCACAGCACGCACGCTGCCTGGGCTCAAAGCGCTCGCTCTCGTCCCGTTTCACCTGCTTTCGCCGCATCGCACGGCGGCGGCGCGGCAGGGAGCATGCGTTCAGCGGACAGCGCCTACACTTGGGACGGCAGACCAGCCGATCATCATTATGGTGACAATCATCTCGGCGCAGTCGCAGCGACGAGCCTGGATTGGAGTCACAGTCGTCATACGAGCGTCGCCGGAGAGCCCGTCGCTGGCAACGCCTTTGGCGCTCGAATGGCAGACAGTCAGCAGCTCATGAGCGCACCACCCGCGCCAGGCTGGAGCAGCAGCAGCAGCAGCACCGCCACTCGCCCACCAGAAGTGCTGTATGTGGTCGATGCGAACGGCGACCTCAAATCCCGAGACGTTTTGCGCTACTATCGCTCGGTCGCAGACCTCGTAGGGGACTATCCCGACTCTATCGTGCCCAGCGCTGATCCGGACACGGCCGTGCCTCGACCGCAGTCGAACAGGGGCGCGTCGTTTTGGCACAAGACGCAAAGCGAGACTCCTCACTCTCGATGGCAAGTCGATCGGCTCATCTCGCACGAGTTGGCCAACATTCTGCTGGACGAGTTTTTGGGCCACCAGAACCACATTCACCCGTTCGTGTACGAACCGCGGGTGCGAAGCATCTTTGCCGCCCTGCAGCAGCTGGCCAACGAGAGGCTGGACGGCTTTTCTAGCGGATCGTCCGTTGCGCGTTCGTGGAGCCCTGCACTGCTGCGCAACCGCCAAGCCCTCATCCTCTCCATCCTAGCCATGTCCTCTTGCATCTCCGACGGCTTGCCGCTCAGCTCCGGCGGCGCTGCACTGGGCTGGGAGTTTGGACACGGCTGCTATCAACTAGCTCGCGGCCTGCTTGCTCCGCACAACAATCGACAAGGCTGGAGTGGCGTCGGCCAAGATGCGATGGGCGGACCGGAAGGTGGAGCGCTGGAGCGCATTCAAGCGCTCGCGCTGGTCGGCATTTATCTGGCCAACGAGGCGTCGCGCGAGCATACCATCGAAGTGCTAAAGGCTGCTTGGGAGACGGGACGATCGATGGATGCGCTGCGCAGTCGATCCGTGGACGCGTACGATCCTCGAAGGTGGGATGAAGTGGATCGAGAGATGCTGAAGCGCTCCTTGTGGGGCTGCTTCATGATGCTGCAAATGGTGCGAGCTGCGAATCAAAACGATGGAGATTCGGACTATCCTCGTGCCAGCGACGTTTCTCAGATGGATTTCCCGCTCCACTTGCCGCCTCACATTGAGAGCGAGCCGGCACTGGATACGTGGACTTCGGAACTGCGCGTGGATGCGATCCTTGCCAGCGTGCTCGACTCTCCGCTTGCCGCGCCGCCCGTGTCGACAAAGCTGTACGGCGACCAGCAAGCGATGCACGATGTGCACCTTTGCGAGTCTTGGGCTCAAGAGTTGCTGGGACAGCTGGAGCACTGGGCATCCTCTGCGCCGTGCTACCATCACAACAACCTTCGACAATCCAGCAGCAGCAGCAGCAGCCGCTCCATTGCGCGCAACTTCAACCTTCGCAAATCGCGCTCGACGCATCAGCTGGCCAGATCGTTGATTCGACAAGGATTGACGAGCGCAGGCTCCATGCTGGATATCGGAGAGGATGCTAGGTGCGACTCGCACCATGCCTTTTCGTCGCAGGAACCGGGCTCGGATAGGGTGGCCGCTTGGCTCGCCACTACGCCTTCGTACGCTCTGAAAGCCATGTGTGGTGATCAGGGCGAATCTGCTAGCCCTTGGCAGCGACCACCTCCATCCAAGATGATGTGATGCGCGCGCGGGTGCGCGTGCGGGTGCGAATGCGAATGCGGATTCCAAGTAGCTAAATCGTACCTCTCTCGCTGATCCCCCTCTCCCCCTATCATCTCGTCGCGGCAACCCCCCCCTCTCAAACGCCCCTCATCACTAATCAGCTTTCGTTCGCTCCTCCTGTATCTGCGCTGCGCACATCAGCGAACTCGTTCGTGCACTCTCCCTCAAGAGCCCCCGTCGGACAAACGCGTTATTCTGAGACCTACGCTCCGCTCAGGCAATGGTCGACCGGGTTAGCAAGCAAGCACTTACCTGCTTGTACCTGCCCCTCGAATCTCCTTCTCCCCTTACCTCTCGCAACAATCCCGATCTCAATGAAATGCGGCCACGGCGCCCCATGACTTCTTTGCAAAACGATCCGATACATCTTTGCCCCCTCATCGTGCTGCATCTGGCGCTTGGCTTGGCTTGGCTTGGCTTGGCTTGACGGTGATCGCGTGCGTTCGAGCGAGTACAGTATTCGCACCCTTGTGAAAGAACAAGGTCCCCCACTTTACAACTTTTCCACGAGACTTGAAACTGTGTTCCAGTCCAATGCAAGGATGGGTGGGCCCCTTCTCTAGAGGGGGGAAAGCTTCACATTGGGCGAATCTCCGATGAGATGAGATGAGATGAGGGGCTCTCGAGCGGAGAGTATCATGGCGTTTCATTCGATGAATGATGCTGGCATCGCCCGCATGCTATGGGGCCATCGCGGATTGCTAGAAGATCGTCGCTGTCTGTCTGTCTGTCCATCTGTCCCACAAAGGGCACACCTTGTAGCAGGATCGGGGCGCACGCGTGAGCTGTGACGGATCCAAGCTAGGCAAATATGAATACGAATTCGAATTCGAATCGGAATCGGGTCGGGGGGGGGGGGGGGGGGGGGGGGGGGGGGGGGGGGGGGGGGGGGGGGGGGGGGGGGTAAGGTGCGGCGCGGCGCGGCGTAAGAGCAAAAGGGGGGGGGGGGGGGGCATTTTATGAGTCGAATATCTCATCAATTGACTCGGACTTATCAAGACTCAAACTCAAGACTCAAAACTCAACACTGGATCGAGCGCCGGACCTAGCTGCACGTGATGGCTGCCTCTCTGCACATGCATGCTTGAACCCCCCACACGTGATCTGTGTCAGAGAGATATCACGTGAGATGACGCGATTTCTTCTTCTAGCGCCGATGAGATGATGATGATGATGATGATGATGAGAAAGTCGACAAGAAGAGGAGTGTGCAGCAGCGTCAGCTGGGTAGGTGCGCGCGCGTGCGTGCTTGCGTGCTTGCGTGCGTGCTTGCGGACGTATACGTGCGCCAGCAGGAGGAGAAGCGAAGCGCAGAGAGTTGGATCGGGCGGGGTCTGTTTTTCTCCCTTGAAACCTCGCTCGAGTGTGTAGCGAGCGAGCGTGTCCGAGGATTCGCGATAGATCGAGAGTGTGAGTCTTGGGGTGCGCAATCAGAAGGTCGAATGGATTGTCGTGCGTGTGCTGTGCTCGTCTTATTTCTGGCTCTCGCGCGTGTCCTGCGTGGCTTCTGATTCCGCAGTCAAGCATGCATCAGGCGCTAATGGTGAATGGTGAATGAATGAGAGCGCGCGCGCCTTCTCGCAATAACAGTCACTCGGATCCACGAATTGCGTGCTTTTTTTGGGCGCGGTGCGGTGCGGTGCGGTGCATGTGGTGTGGTGGAGCGAGCGCACGGACGTTCTTACACAGACACAGACACACATCACACACACACGTACACGCCCTCTGCTCACGACTCGGGACTCACACTCGGACTGACACTCACTGACACTGCCCACGTGCCTGCTGTAGTAGTGCTGCAGATCTTGGAGTAGAACTTCTCTATAGCTGATGCTGGCCGGCCCCCTCGTCAACGTGCCCTCGCGCGGGTGCGGCGGTATAGCGAGTGCAAGATCGTGTGAGCGAGCGAGCGAGTCGATGAACATCATCGTTGCGCACGCTCTCCAACCTCTTTGCGCTCCTCCATCACACTAATCCCCCGCCCGAGCCGTATACCATACTCTTCCAACCTGAGCTCACCCTTTGCAAACATGGCTTCTCACTTTGACACTCTTCGTGAGTATGGAGCGTCGCCCGTGCGTTCGGCAAACTCCCTCCCTCTCTAACAATCCCCTCCTCCTCCTCCTCTTCCCACGCGTGTCGCGCACGCACTTCACTCTTCAGAGCTCCACGCTGGTGAGTCAGACAGACGCATACACGCCGCCGCCGCCGCTCCCCATCATCGCTCATCTTCACTTTGCTCGCACTCCAACGTAGGTCAAGAGCCCGATCCTGCATCCAACGCCCGTGCTGTGCCCATTGTTGCTTCTACGTGAGTCATGTTATCGCACTGCTGCGGAACTTGAGAAGGACGCTCAGCGCATAGCTAGCTTGCTCTCGGCGCTGCGATGTTGTGGTGGTGGCGAATTTTGTCCCCCGCCCCTGCACTCCACAACTCATGCGCGACATCCCCCCCACCTCCAATCTCAGCTCATTTGTGTTCAACAACTCTGAGCATGGAGCCAACTTGTTCGGTCTGCGCGAGTTTGGAAACATGTGAGTGGAGCACGTCGTGAGCGCTAGGGGAAATTTTGGGCCTCCTCAGACTTTTTTTTCGGTTGCTTGGTCGTATTCTGCCAGCTACTCGCGTCTTATGAACCCGACCACTGTGAGTGTGTGATGGTGACAAGTCGAGACAGACGCGACATGCGCTCACGCCTCTCGGGCGGCACCTCTTCAGGATGTGTTTGAGAAGCGCATTGCAGCCCTCGAGGGCGGTGCTGCTGCTCTTGCCACCTCGTCTGGTCAAAGTGCTCAGGCCATGGCCGTGCTCGCTTTGGCCCAGGCGGGGGACAACATCGTCTCCACGTCTTACTTGTACGGAGGAACGTACAACCAGTTCAAGGTCCTCTTTCCTCGCATGGGCATCACGACCAAGTTTGTCAAGGGAGACAGCCCAGACGACATTGCCAAGGCGATCGACTCCAAGACAAAGGCGGTGTACATCGAGTCGATTGGTAACCCGCGCTACAATGTGCCGGATTTGGAGGCCATCGCCAAGATTGCCCACGATCACGGCATTCCCCTCGTCGTGGACAATACGTTTGGTGCGGGCGGATACCTCATCCGTCCCATCGACCACGGAGCAGACATTGTCGTGCACTCTGCCACAAAGTGGATCGGCGGTCACGGAACGACGATTGCCGGAGTGGTCGTCGACTCTGGCAAGTTCGATTGGAAAAAGTCTGGACGTTTTCCACAATTCACCGAGCCTTCGGAGGGCTATCACGGTCTGAAGTTTTGGGACACGTTTGGAGCGGTCACGTTTGCCATTTTCCTTCGCGTAGTGATTCTGCGCGACTTGGGACCTAGCATCAACCCTTTTGGCTCCTTTTTGCTCCTGCAAGGTCTCGAGACGCTCAGCTTGCGCATTCAGCGTCAGGCCGACAATGCCCTCGCCATTGCTCAATGGCTCGAGAAGCACCCCAAGGTCGCTTGGGTCTCCTACCCCGGTCTCACCTCTCATCCGAGTCACCAGCTGGCCAAAAAGTACCTGGTGAGTTGCGCGCGCAAGAGGGCTGAAGGAGCGCTCTCGAGCTAAATTGATGCTCACACGACGTTTTCCTTCTCGCCAGCCGCGCGGTTTCGGAGGTGTGTTGTCTTTTGGTGTAAAGGGCGACGATAAGTCCGGCGCGACGTTTGTGGACAACCTCAAGCTTGCCAGGTGAGCCCGCGCGTTGCGGAGTGCTTTTGCGGAGTGTGCGCGTCCCCAGGCGCTTACACTCCTCGCCATCTCTTAGCCACTTGGCAAACGTGGGAGACGCAAAGACGCTCGTCATTGCTCCTGCCGCCACGACTCACCAGCAGCTGACTGACCAGGAACAGCTGGACTCTGGTGTGACCAAGGACCTGATCAGGTGAGAGGGGCGGGGGGACGCAGAGCAAAGCGAATCGTGATCGAGTCGCACGTCTTGCCCCGCTGACACTGCCTTGCTACGGAATGATCAGACTGAGCGTCGGATATGAGTTCATCGACGATATCAAGGCTGATTTGGAGCTTGGCTTCAAGGCTCTTGCTTAGAGGTTGGGTGAAGGACGCTGCTGCTGCTGCTGCTTCTTGTCGGCGCTCGCACGCGGGCGTTCGCGCCTGATCTAGCCTGACACGGCGTCGCCGCTCCAAAGGACGGACACGGGGAAATGATTTCCGGTGGAGGTTTCGGGGAGGGGGTCCCAGACAGATTTGACGTGTAATTTTTTGGAAAAATAAAATGTATCGCGGACGTGCGTCGTCAGAATTGTTCAGCTGCTGCTGCTGCTGCTGCTGCTGCTGCTGCTTGTGAGACGTGCGAATCTTTCTCCTCCGCATGGGGCGCATGCTCGTCGAGTTGCAGACTCGTAAGAAACAGAGGGGTGATGAATGCGAGAAAAATGTCGCAAGAGACGAGGAGAGCTGGGGGGGGGAAAGAAATCAGCGCGCGAGAGCGAAGGGAAACGCTTTGGGGGGGGGCTTGCATTGATTGAGGTTTTACAGGTCGCGCGCGGTATTAGCCCCCCCTAGCTGATTGGCCTTCGATTGAGAAGTTGGGCAACTTTTACGCGTGGCTGTGGGCTGAAATATTTGCGGGGAGGGGAGGGGAGGGGAGGGGAAAGAGTCTGAAGTGAGAGGAGGAGGAGGAGGAGTAGGAGGAGGAGGAGGAGGGGGCTGTTGTTTTTGTCGTACGAGAGAGCAGGGAGCGGCGTGTGTTGGCTGCATGCATGCATGCATGCGCTGCGCGTATTTGTGGCGCTCACGCGGGACCGAGGTGGGTGCTGGGTGCGTGCGTGCGTGCGTGCGTGCGTGAGTGCGCTAGCGTGTGTCGACGTGGTTAGTTGCGTGCGAGGTCGCATCTACTTGCGGACTTGATACGGCGTACAGCGAACAGCGAACAGCGAACATCGACCCAGCATTCATCCATCGCACGAGGGGCAAAGGAGGTCGAAAGTCGATAACAATAGACGCTTCGTAAACCCGCTCCCTTTTCCCTACCCTTTGCTCTTCCTTTTTGGGATCTGCTCTTGCAACTGAACTCTACTAGGCAAGAAAAAGGGCGCAAACACGGGCACGATATCTCTCCCTCTGCAAGACGAGCACGAGCACGAGCACGAGCACGAGCACGCTTTTCTTGTTCCCTCAACTCGGCGAGCAACAGCACGAGCAGGATAGGGAGGCAAGTCGTCGTTGGAAGGGCGACAGCTGCACCCAAGGGAAAGGATGTTGTCCTCGCTGCGCAACCTATCCATCCGAGCCTACCTGCTCCAAGCGCTCAACTTTCTGACGGTCATCTCGACGGCCCTAGCGCTGTGGAAAGGCCTCTCGGTATGGTGCGATACGGAATCGCCAGTGGTGGTGGTGTTGTCGGGAAGTATGGAGCCGGCATTTTATCGAGGGGATCTGCTCTTCTTGAGCATGCCTAGTGCCGAGAGAAAGTTCAAGGTGGGAGATATCACGGTTTATAAAGTGCCTGGAGCGGATATTCCCATCGTTCATAGGGTGCTTGAGACGCACGAGTGAGTGCCCCCCCCCCCCCCCCCGCGCGCGAAAAGCGATGCGGTGCGGTGCGGTGCTGCGGTCGAGTCGTGGACTCCTTACATACCCTTCACTTCCCCTCCACGATTCAACGACAGCTTGCCAGAGGAGGATGATCAGTTGCTGTTGACAAAGGGAGATAACAACTCGGCGGACGATCTGGTGCTGTACAATGGCACGAGACATTTGAGGAGGAGCAACGTGGTTGGAAAAGTCAAGGGATATATGCCTTATGTTGGGTGAGTAGCAGCGCGTGGCTAGTGATGAGAAGGGGGGAAGGTGTGCCCAGTCTGGCTGGTGTGTTTTGTCGAAGCAGGCAGGCAGGCGAGAAGGCAAGAGCTGGATTGGCCAAACTTCTTGCCAAGTCGCGCAGAGCCCCACTCGTAGCAGACAGCGCACGCTCGCACAGCTTGAATGCGACACGCGACACGCAAGCTTCATCTCGGCCGCCCCATCCTCACACTCTTTTTGCCCCCCTCTCATACAGATACGTGACGATTGCGCTGAACGATTATCCGAAGCTCAAGTACTTGTTATTGGGAGGCTTGGGCCTATCTTTGCTCTTGCAGAGGGAGTGAGAGAATCGAGGAGGAGGAGGAGGGGGGCTAAGGAGGAGGAGAAT